TGCTAATGGGCAAATTCCAAAGATTGTAAGTAACAAATCTCAGGATTAGCTTTCTTTTTATAAATTATTTATTTATTTATTTTTGCCCGGCAGAGTTAGACAGCGAGAGAGAGAGACAGAGAGAGTTATAGACAGTGAGAGAGAGACAGAGAGAAAGGTCTTCCTTCCGTTGGTTCACTCCCCTAATGGCCACTACGGCCCGCGCTGCGCCGATCCGAAGCCAGGAGCCAGGTGCTTCCTCCTGGTCTCCCATGGGGTGCAGGGCCCAAGCACTTGGACCATCCTCCACTGCCCTCCCAGCCCACAGCAGAGAGCTGGACTGGAAGAGGAGCAACTGGGACTAGAACCCAGCACCCTGACCTGGACTAGAACCCGGGGTGTCAGCACTGCAGGCGGAGGATTAGCCAAGTGAGCCACGGCGCCAGCCCAGGGTTAGCTTTTTTATAAAAAAAGTTTGTATATAGAACTTCAAAATGACTGACAAAAGAGCATTTTAGGTATATTTTATAAACAAAAATTCTAGGAAAAATGAAATTGTATTTTATTAATTGACATGAAACATTCTTATAAATAAAATAATGAAATTGCCTCACTTGAAATTCAAAACATTAAAATAAAACCAAAACAACAAATATTTGGACTAATTAATTAAATAAAAATTAATGGATCATAGTGTTAAACAAGATGTATTTACTAGATAGAATTGATATACTCCATGTATTCAAAATGAATGCTATATCTTCATCAGAAGATTTATTGTAAACTTCATTTGAATTGCTACCTCTCATATACTTTTTTTTTCTCATTTACTTTTTAAAGGAAAATCAATTTCCAAAAGCATGCCTTCAAAACCCATACCGTGTAACCTGGGTCACTGAGTGCATAGCACTGTGCTCAGTGCTAAGGGAATATGAAATAAAGCTCAAGACAGAGTTTCTTTCAGAAACTTATACTTTCAAAAAGAAAGCAAAACAGAGGCTGAAGCCTCCAGATATTGAAGAGCTCAGAACAAAGAACGTTTCAGAAGGAGGGCTATGTACTATAGCTCATTGGAACTTGAAGGTCACAGCTTTGTCACAGTCCAGGTGGAAGAAGGCTACAGTTGGATGTTGAGCAATGTAGCATTTGAATGTGGGCACCATGCAAGGCAAGGACAGAGGGAGTCTTGAAAAGGAACGATTTAATAAAATACCAGAGCCTGGCAATTAGCACAATCATTATGCAGAGGGGCCACCTTGGACACTATGTCTATGGCTATGCTGCAGGGATGGAAAACACAGGTAGCTCTGAAAATGACGTGATGAGTAACACCGCAGAAAGGAGTTCATGTGCTTTTGGAAAACACGGTGGGATTGCATCTCACCATCTTGGAATAGTTCTTTGAGACTAATATGGGAAATTATAGAATTGCAGGTCTGGAAAAAAAAGGAGTCTGATTCAGAACTAGAGTAGGGGAAGTTGTCTTGGAAAACAGTCTTGTCTCCATTGCTTTGTTTTTTATGTTTGAGTGAGCAATGTGACAGTGTTTTATTGATGTAATATTTATATACAATGTAATGAACAGATTGGAAGTGAACAACTCAACTCATTGGGATAAATATATGCAGCTGTGCAATCACAATTGTTGTCAAACTATTGGACATTCTCATTACCCCCAAAATTCCCTTACACTCTTTATCACTGATTCTATATCTCACGTAAGAAATCATCATTCTAATTGCTATCGGGAAAGATTGCCTTTTCTTGTTTTATACTTCATATAAATGGAGTTAGTGTATGTATAACTTTACTACTTCCTAATTTTAGTCTTATCCTAGTATATCAGTTGTTCATTCATAAGGCAATAATAATTAGCCACTATTTATGATCTTTGCTGAGAGGAATTGAATGTAAGTGAATATAATAATCTATGGATTTTATCCTTTTTGTGGTGCAACTTTATTCAATGAGCAATTATGAGATGTCAGCTACTATGTTAATTAATTTATAGCAGTGGATTGGGGGAAATGAAAAGGCAATAAGGGAGGTATTTCCATAAAGTTTGAAATTTAAAGACCCCAATGGGCTGGTACTATAGCTAATTTTAAGGCTAGACCTCCTGTGTCCTTATGAAAGATCTCTGTGTATCTGCCCCCAACACACATATTTTCTTATTATATTTTACAACAGATGTTCCTTTATGCTGATTTTAAATATTGATTATTTAAGAAAATCTTAGTATGTGATGTATTCTTGTATGCTATTGCAAATACTTTTTGAGCAAAGGTGAACATAAATAAAATTAAACTGAAAAAAGTCACTTCAAATCTTATCAACCCTATGAATCAAATGTTTTTCATTGGTGTTTTCTTTAAAGAATACATCATTTATATATGTTCATTGTCAGCATGGGTAGATAAAAAGCAGAATAATTGATCCTCTTTCAAGGAAGAGTAGCACAGAAGGGCTGTAAATACTGAGGGTTGGGACCCAAGTGCAGGCTCTATGATGGCTGGACAGTCTCCTCCATCCTGTTTGTGGAGCAGATGATCAGTCCTGCAGCGTGCTGAGCCGCCTATATTTAGCCAAGGTGGGTTGTGTGATAAGAGGGAGGGGGCCAGGCCACACACCCTTTGACTCATCATTCATGCACACGTGTCAGTTTTTCGTGCGGTTGGACAGCCTGCTTAGGCAGACAGAGCCTGATTGTAACTTTCCTGGACTGCCAGGCTAAACATCACAGAAGGAACTACAGAAACTAACAAGCCCTAGGAGACACCACGCCTTCTATAAATCACATGGATGATAACATCATTATTACTCGCTTATGACGCTTGCACACTTCCTTTTCTCTGGCTTAGAACTGGAGCTCATGCTGCTGTGCACTGTCTGATTCCAGAGCAGTCTTCCGTGACACTAAGGGCCTGTGAAAAGGCAGCTGTGTCCCAGCTGTTTCATGCCTCTGCATTTTGCATTCAAAGTTGGCATATGTGATATTGCAATAAACAGGCTCTCCAGTTAGAGTGGGTCCAGCATGATTTTTAAAGATTTGGGGCAGGGGTAATCAGCAAGAAATGGAAGATAGTACAACATAATTAGGGGCGTGATTTTTATCCTTTCTGTGTAATTACTAGCTCCATGATCACAGGAACCCCGTTGTATTTGAATCAAATTAATACACCTGATTTGATCCACCAGGTGATGTAGTTATAGGGAATGAATTCTTCAAAGTACTTATTCATCTAGGCCCACTTAGGGTCTCAGTTTCCTCATCTTTGAGTAATTTTGAATTCTCCTAAAGGCTGACAGTATCACTACAGTGAGGAATAAAAATGCTACGGTGCTTGGTATAAACAGGCAGTTAGTAACCGGGTGATCATCACTTGCCAGTGACTAAGGAATTGAAAATGGTGTCATTGTAGTTGACATTACAATGAAGAGTTTCGTCTTACCAACAAGAATAAAGGCACATGCCTATCTGCCTTCCTCCTGGCAATACTGACTAAACCGCTACTGGCTACCTAGATTACAAAGGAAAATTTTCTACAGAAGCCAAGCAAGGCCATTGTTTATATACCACATGTGTTAAGTCTCAACCTTGATATTCCTATATTCCAGGTCCCAGAATAACATTGTATAGCTCAGGGAACTGAATATCAAGGCACACTTGAAGCTGTAATACACATTCACACATACCGAGCATATATGAGGGTACTTTAAAAAAATCTTGGGAAGGTGGAATTAAAAGATAAGGTCATTTTAGGTTTGGTGGCTGGCACTGTGGTTTGAATCCAAAGATGAGGATGCTCAGGAGTTATGTAACTTTCCTAAGGTTGTGCCACTCCAAATGGTCCTTTAGGAATTAGCTCTTCAAAGAGTTAGATTCCTATAACTACTATCTGAACATTTTTTTTTGCAAAAAAATTGAAATTCTTGCAAATTTTTTACATAATATGCATTTCCATGAATTTTTAAAAAGATACTTCATTTGTATGTACTTCAAATATTTTCCCAATGTAATACAATACAATTATGGTTTAATTTTATTTTTCTGTGAACCTATTGAACCCTTCTTATATGGCTACAAAGTACCCTCACTTACAAGTGGCTCAAAAAGAGCCAGGAACTCAGTTGTTTTTGGATCAAATCAGCTGTCTATTATTTGATCCACCTTTGGTGATGGAGTTCTAGGAATTTGCTTCTTTCAAGAACTAATTCACGCAGGCCCATTTACAGCTGCCCTGCCTCTAGCAAAATGACAAAATTTCTGAGCACCCACATCTGTTAATTTGAAACATAACTGCCAACTCCTTTTTAGGGCTCCTATGAAGTTTTCCAAATGCACACAGACTTTTTGTAAATAGTGACACGCCACAAATATAAGCCATTATTGTACTCTTGGACCTCCTGCAGGTGTTTGCTGGTTATTGGCAGATTTTTTTCCAATGTTATTATTGCTGTGTATGAGAAATTTCTGAAATGATTCCCATTCCTACGTACACACTAAATCTTAGGGAGTATAGTTGCTTCTTCCTTTGTTGTTACGGCTATCACTGCCTATCACGAGGCAGAATTCTGCTCAAAAAGATATTCCAGGGAAGCCTAGAAGACTCCTTCTCTGTTCTCCTTCCCAAATATGTTCATACAAACTTGCTAAAAACGAAAAGTTCCAAAACTGGGGATTCATTTCATTGTCACTGTTGTAACAAAATTTCCCTTTAAGTTCTACCATTCCAATATACCTTATTGTGGATTAAATTCATCTAATCATTTTAACAGGTTTTAAACAGAGTGAAGGAAATGGAAAATGAGCCAAGCAGTGTGAAGGTCAAAGTCTCAGAGAAATTGCTACAGAAAGAATACAATGAGTATGCTGAAGTCAGATTGGAAAGGCATCTAGTGATTAATATTGCTTTAATTGTCTAAGTGACCAAAACCATCCTTAATTATCTAGAAATAAACCCTCTCTACAAAAAAGCCAAAGTACTTGGGGTTGAAGAAAGAAGAGAAATGGATCTTACCCAGCTGGTCTTGTGTCTTCAATGGCTCTGTCCACTGGGATCAAATCACTAAGGTAGACGTTGAAGTTTCCTTCTTTCCATCTTCTTTTTGCCTCTTTCTCCTTTCCATGGGGAACAACTACAGGCAGTCCGAACTGACCTGGGGCTTGGGGGTCCCTTGGAGAAAGTGTCACATCAATTCTCAACACTTGGTGCATCCCCCTGTCCTCTGGTGAAAGGGCTTCTATTCGACTTTGATTGTGTCCCGCAGGCTGGGCCTGGGCAGTGAAGTTGGTTTTTGCTGGTGCTGTCCCTTTAGCTAAGGCTTGGTTGGTCTGAGACACAGTGGCTCTCTGTGAGGCGAGTAAAGGAAAAGATGCCTGACTTCTACTCCTGGGAATGTGTTTACTTTGGATTGCACCCAGGACTTTAGGAAACAAAATTTTGGTTTTAGAGTTGGGGACTTGTTTGGTATCTGTCTTCAGCTCCTCCTCCTTGGTTATAATCACAACATGGCTTTCAGAGAAATTGAGTTTCTTTGCACGAGCCACTTCAGTTCCATCATCCTTTGGCAAGATGCCCAACTGTGTCTCATTAATAGATTGTTTCTTTAGGAGATTGGAATTGGCAAGGAACTTGGAAAAAGGAAGACCCTTATTGGCTTTGTGTTTATTTGCCTTTAGTTCCTTACTCTGAGTCTCAGTTTTCCTTAAGGTTATGGCTTCACTGAATTTTGGCACGGGTGGGCTGACAGGGTGTGCCCTCTCATTTGCCACGGCCTGTGATTGCTGCTTTGACGGGTCAGTTCTAAGGCCAATGGTCCCATTCAGGTCCCTTTCAGCTGCTTGTTTTGATGTGTCACTGCTGGGACTGGGACTCTTTAGGTCCTCCTGTTTTATATCAACAGGTCCTGTGTGTACTGATGTTTTGTTCAATGGAGCTCCTCTGCCTTCTCTGAATGGGGTTTTCTGAGCCCCCCGAGCTGCGGTTTCCTTTGTTGCCACCTGGCGGGAGGAGGCTTCAGGTCTGGTGCCTCTCCCTTCTGTCTTCTGATTGGTAGGAGTCACTGGGTGGGTCTGCAGTTGGGCAGGATGCCACAAAGGCAAAACTTTGTCCTCCCCTCCCAGGGCATTTTGCATTTTCCTTTCTGGCTGGGTTTGGTGCAAGTCCTTCTCACCCTTGAGCACTCTCTCCTCTGTCTGTCTGAAGTGCTCTTTGTCCCACGCCCCCTTCCCATGTCCTCTCAGTGGAGGCTTTACTTCTTTATTGCTGCTGTAAAGGATCTTCGTTTGGTCGGGCTGAGCCCTGAATCCTATCTGCTCCCTCCTCACAATGTCTTCCTTGAGGACCCGAGTGTTGATCTCACTGAATGAGAGGCGGAGAGCTGCCATGTCAAAGAGCAGCCAGATGACAGAAGCTACAAATATAAATGCCAAGACTCGCCCACTTCCTCGGAAAAACTTTCGGATCTTGTTCATGATGCAAAGTCTTCCCTTGCAGCCTGCCCTCCCTTGGAGCCTGCTTACCTTGAGTGGAGAGGAAGCCGAAGTAGTAGAAGTAGCAGCTGCAGAGTTGCCAGAGAGCACCCCTTCCCCTGAACACAGCAGGAAACAGCAGTCGGAGGGAAAAGCTCAGCTCCTACTGCTTGTCAGTCTCTGCCTGCGTGGCATTTCACAGTAGAGCATCGGTGCCTGCTCAGCTGGTCCTGGCTGAACTCTGGTAAACACTGCCCTTAGGTCATTCCAAGAGCAGGCGATTCCAGCCACCAGATAGTTCAACCTATCACTTGTGTTTTCTCGGTGAACCCTTGTCCACCTTCCTACAAGCCCAAGAAAAGGGGGGGCTGGTTGGGGCTGATGCTTCTTCTCTCCTCCCCGTTCTCGGTCTGCACGCTGTAACTCAACACCACTTCTCATAAGGAAAACATTTCAAGCCATTACCCAGCAAACTTCATTCAGCTCTCACCTTCCGTGTTATGTGAGAGTGTGTGTGTTTTAAGGGCAATTAAACAGAAAGAAATCTATCTAACTTGGAGGGCATGTGTTCCTGGTTTGTAACCCCACCTTCCCCACTCCTACTCATTAACCCTCTTGTGCCCTGGTGCTCAGAAAGCTCTGCCTGAACAATTAATTACTGACCTTCGTGTTCAGCTTGCAGAGCTAGTGGCTCAAAGAAGGGGACCAGTGTGTCCTTGTTCCCCGAGGTGGACACGTAATTATTCAGAGGTCTTTTTTTTTTGGGGGGGGGGGGGTCAAAATGTTTCTTTGGAAGCCCACTGTGTTTTTGCCATTACTTCATCTATTTTTAAAACTAGATTCAACAGACATAAACTTGTTTGTCATATTGCTGTAAAAATTCCCAAACATTTTGCTGTGGTCTGAATGTGTCTCCTCCAAACATATTGGTTGCAAATCCAATCACCAGTGTAATGGTTAATGGTGTTGGGATGTGGGAGGCATTTGATAGGTGATTAGAATGGATTACTGAGGGATGGGATTCATGGTCCTTGTAAAAGAGGACCCAGGAGCTAGCTTGTCCTTTCCACCAACTAAGGGCACACTGGAGAACACCTTCTATCAACCAGGATAGGGCCCTCACCAGATGCCAAACCAGCCAGTACCATGATCTTGGTATACTGGTCTCTAGGGCTGTGAGGAATAGATTTCTGTATTTTATAAATCACTTAGACTATAGTGTTTATTCCAGCTCCTCAAACAAAGTAAGACACACTTCCTCTCAGTTTCAGTACTTAACTCGGCATGGGCCTGTAACAGTTTGAACATTTCTGCACTACTTGGACCAACTTTTGACTGATGCTGGTAAATCGGTAGCATAGTAGTTCCCATGCAGACTTTACATTACAGTCACTTAAAGAAAGGCCCCTTGAGCTCTGATTAATTGATGGAGGAGGAGGTGGAATTGACAGTTTGTCTGCTCTTGTATGCTTTAAAAGTTTTCCAGGTCTTTCTAAAGGATGGCCAGAGTTGAAAGACACTAGTCTAGGATGAGATGTGTCGTCCATTTTACTTGAGGAGATGAAGGGGGACTTTCAAACGGTGCCCATTTGATGGTTAGTTTAAGATATCAACTTGACTGCTGAAGGGGTACCCAGATAGCTGGTATGGGGTGCATCTGTGAGGGTTTTCTGGAGAGATTAGCATTTGAATTATTCCATTGAGTAAGGAAGGTCCTCCTTTACCCAGTGTGCGTGAGGGCCCAGATAGAACAAAGAGGCAGAGGAAAGGTGAATTTGCTCTCTGTCTTCCAGAGTTGAGACATTCATCTTCTCCTGCCCTTGGCCATTTGGACTCCAGGTTCTCTGGCCTCTGGACTCTATGACTTGTATCAGTGGCCCCAGATTCTCAGACCTTTGGCCTCAGACTGAGAATCACATTATTGGTTCCCTGGTTCTCAGGCCTTTGGAATTGGATTGTGCTGTGCTATTGACTTTCTAGTTCTTCAGCATATTGTAGGACTTCTCATTCCTCATAATCATGAGAGCCAGTTCCCCTAATGTATTCCCTCTCATCTATCTATCTATCTACTATCTATCCATCCATCCTTTTGGTTCTGTTTTTCTGGAGGAATTTAATATCACCTACAAATTTTTTGGAATTATTTCCCATATGGAGTAAAACCTGGAAAAAATGATACACTCCAAGGATTACTGAATTTGAACATAAAATATAATGTTGCAAGTTATAAAGACTGTCCTCAGGAGCAGTGTGCTTTGAGGAACCTTGAGTGATCTGCAGATTGTGTTGCCATTTATGAATCTGTTGTTGACAAAGCCGAAGATAAACTTAGACTCCTGAAGACTTGGGTGGAAAATAGGGGCAAATTTTGAATTCTTTATTCCAACTCAATGCTTTCTTCAACATTCAATATTTAAGTTTGTACACTGTTTCATGAGTGAGAATCCCGGTAAACACAGCTATGGTAACATGTTTCTTGAGTGCCTAACTCCTTTCTACAGTGCCTATGCCCTATGACTTGGAATATCCATTTGGATGACAGAACTGGTGGCTCAGCACTTTCCTCCATGCATCCTTGCCTCAGTTCATTTGTTCTCCCCAATACCTGTTGATTATGTTCCATGTCTCAGGCTCTGTGTTGAATATTGAGGGATATTGAGTAGAAGAACATAGTTTTTGTCCTTTATTGGTGGACGTGGATAGTTAGGCATATATTGTATATTATAATATGCAACAAAGAACCCTAGAGAAAGAATATATAGGACTCTACAGGGATATAGCTTAGTTTTGGGAGGCACAGATGATTTTTAAAGCAGTGATCCATGGACTTGAAGAATAAATCAGAATCCAATGGTGTTTGCTCAAATGGTGTTCTGAGGGAACAAACATTAATCAGATGATGAAAGGCAGATAAATGAGGAAAACCCTAGAGATGAAGACAGAGCATAGTACCTAAGGGGAAGCTTGAGTCTTTAAGAACCAGCATGACTGGAAACACAAGCTTGGTGTTAGCTCTTGCATGTCTGTAGGTGTTTGTCTATGTGTGTGTGTGTGTGTGTGTGTATGTTTCCAATCTGTATTAAGCTTTGCTAAGCATTTTTCATTGAGCATATCATTCAATTCACATGGTAATACAATGAAAAAATAAAAATTATAATTCTCACTCCATAGTCAGGACATGAAGACTTGGAAAGGCAGAGCAACTTGCAGTAAAAATGGAAGATGGATTTTTGAATATACAACTCTATGACATCATAACCCACATGCTTAAATATTGTACAACACTGGCTAGTTGTATGGTCTTACAGATTAGGGAATTTGATGTGGTTACTGAGCTATAAAAAAGAAAACAATTTCTTCCTTAAAGATTAATGTGAAGATTAGAGAAAATAATGCAAAGATCTTTTTATATTTATTGTATCTTATAAATGATAGCTACTGCCATTGATATTTGTGTTAATACCTTGTTGTGATAGGTGTGTGGGTACATGTGGGAGGCAACATATCAGCTCTTCCCCCAAATCAAATAAAAAAACTCATGCTAACTTGATTTGGGCAGTGGAGAAAGAAGTACATATGAAAATTTTATTTTATTCTATGCAACCCTATATCTCAGATTACAGATTCAGTCAATAATATTTCTTTACTGAGAACATATGTGCCCAAAACAAAGTAGTTGCCATTGTCTCTTCCCATATGACCTTGCAATTCTACTAGTAGAACACCATCAACATAAAAAATAACACAACTATTTATGATTCATATTCCAGAAAAAATCGAGAATTTTTCTAATAACAAGGGTAAATAGTTTGCATTACAATCCTACTTAAGATGTTTTTTTTTAGATTTATTTTTAAAATTTATTTTGAAAGGCACAGTTACAGAGACAGAGAGAAAGAGAGAGAAATCTTCCACCCTCTGACTCACTCCCCAAATGTCCAAACAAAGAGGACTGGCCAGGCCAAAGCCAGGAGCCTGGAACTCCACCTGAGTCTCCGACATGTGTAGCAGGGTCTCAAGCACTTACGCCATCTCCTACTGCCTTCCAAGGCACATTAGTAGGAAGTTGGATTAGAAATAGAGTAGGGGCCTGTGCTGTGGCATAGTGCCTAAAGCCACCGCCTGCAGTGCCAACATCCCACATGGGCACAGGTTCAAGTCCTGGCTGCTCCACTTCTGATCCGGCTCTCTGCTGTGGCCTGGGAAAGCAGTAGAAGATAGCCCAAGCCCTGGCTCCTGGCTTCGGATCAGCACAGCTCCGGTCGTTGTGGCCAATTTGGGAGTGAACCAGTGGATGGAAGACCTTTCTCTCTCTCCTTCTCTCACTCTCTCTCTCTCTCTGCATAACTTTGATTTGCAAATAAATAAATAAATAATCTTAAAAAACAAAAATAAAAACGAAATAGAGTAGCCATAACTTGAACCAGTGTTTATATAAGATGCCGGTGTCAGAGACAGGGGGTTTAACCTACTGTGCCACAATGTCAGCCCCCTCCAATACTATTTTAAACATGAAAAAACATTGGGGCCGACTGTGGTATAAAAAGTGGCTGACTGTCGTATAGAAAGTTAAGCCTGTGCCTGCAGTGCCGGCATCTCAAATGGGTGCCAGTTCCAGTCCTGGTGGCTCCACTTCTGATCAAATTCCTTGCTAATGTGCCTGGGAAATCGGCAGAAGGTGGTCTAAGTCCTTATTTTACTAGATAAGCTTCAAGTCTTATCTGTGTTCCTACTTCAAATGGCAATTGGAATTACTCAAACTATTGCTAGATAAGTCAATACTTGTTAATCCTTAATATACTGGACAGATTTAAAATACTACTTGAAATGTGAGAGACTTCACAAAATTTGTTGATAATGAAATTCAAAGATAAGCTTATTTTGTAGGAAAATTTTTCTGGAGATTCCTCAGAAACCTGAAGATAACCCTACCGTTCGACCCAGCCATCCCACTCCTTGGAATTTACCCAAAGGAATTTAAATTGGCAAACAAAAAAGAGGTCTGCACCCTAATGTTTATTGCAGCTCAATTCACAATAGCTAAGACCTGGAACCAACCTAAATGCCCATCAACGGTAGACTGGATAAAGAAATTATGGGATATGTACTCTTTAGAATACTATACCGCAGTAAGAAACAACGAAATCCAGTCATTTGCAACAAAATGGAGGAATCTGGAACACATCATGCTGAGTGAAATAAGCCAGTCCCAAAGGGACAAATACCATATGTTCTCCCTGATCGGTGACGACTGACTGAACACCAAGAGAGAAACCTGTTGGAGTGAGGTGGACACTATGGGAAATGGTGGCTTGATCAGCATAGCCCTGACTGTTAATGAACAACTAAATACATTATCCCTCTTAGTAGTTTTTTTATCTGTTCTACTTAATATGACTGGTTTAGATCTGAAATTGATGCACAGTTATTCTTAAGTGTTAAAAATTAACTGAAATGTGATCCCTGTTGAACATGGGAGTGGGAATGGGAGAGGGAAGAGATGTATAATTTGGG